ATATTTTTTTTTGTTTGTAAGTTAGCCGAACAATATTTACAACAAGCTTTAGAGGCTAGCTTTTTTATTTTTTATTATAGTGTAAAACTGTTTCCACTGATACTAATTGTAATTTTAATAAGTGATTTTACTTTTTCTCCGTTCGTCACAACCACTAAGTGACAGTCAGTCCATATTCGGTCCATCAACTGTTCAAATGAATAAAATGCCTTTAAAACTCTCAAAATCTTGCCATATTTTTACAAATTTTCCGGACCCCTTTCCGGATGGGGAACTGCACCCCCCAACACCCTGCAACAGACCATCGCCCCTCCCAAAATCTGACTCTGAGACCGCCACTGATCTGTTTTGAGGTGGATGTGATGGGTGCCATTCGGATTTTTGCAGAAATGATGAATTTGTAGCTGAATTAGTGTAGTTTGGAAAAACGTATTGTGTAATAGAAAAAAAAAACAGTTTTAAATGTTTTAGATCGATTGTGAAAGTTTAAATTCAGCGTTTTTTAGGTATATTTCAAATACCTCATATTTGTTCCAAAAAATCAAAACCGAAATTTTATGCCATATATTTTAATGATTGGATTTTAACATGGAAATTTCATGGTGGCTGGTTAATGGGAAAGTGAGAAATTTTAATGATCTCATGATCATTAAAATCTTAAAAAATAGCAAAAATCGCGCAACGTTTATTTATTTAACTCTTTTCTAGAAACTGACTTTAATGACGGCAAACTACTAAAAATGTGCAAGAAAGCTGAATTCTTCATGCTTAAAACGTTTTTTGATTTTTGTCGATCGCATATTCTGATCAAAAGATATCGAATTTATACCGTCGTATTGATACAAATTTTATTTAAAATTGATTCCGCGTTCAAGTCATATTTTTGAGAGAACGGTTTATTTTACTTATTCTTCTTCTTTACGTGATATCTCCGCGAGGTTGGTTGGTAATCATCATGGCTATTCTGATCTTAGATGCTGCTGCTCTAAATAGTTTGATTTATGTGCATCCATACATTTCCCTCAAGTTACGCAACCATGAGATTCTTCTCATTTTTACACTTCTATTACGCTGGATTTTCCTTGTATAATTAATTGAAGTATGTTGCATCTTTCAATATGCATAACATGCCCCAAGTATTGCAGCTTTCCTGTCTTGAGGTTTCCAATATTTCCATTTTTTTGTTGACTCTTCTCATAACTTCGTTGTTTGTAATATGCTTAGTCCATGGTATCTTCAGCATTCTTCTATACATCCATAGTTCAAATACTTACATCTTTTTAGTAGTCGGCGCGTTAAATGTCCTTGCTTCGATCCCGTAAAGCAGAGTCGAGAAAATATAACACCTTGCCAACCTAACTCTCAAGTCTAATTTCAGTTCTAATTTCAGCACAAAGTATCTTTCTCATTTTATTGAAGTTTGTTCGTGCTTTCTCTATTCGAACTTTGATTTCTTTGGAGTAATCGTTTGTGTGATTAATTATTGTGCCAAGATAATTGTAGTTTTTAACTTGTACTAAAGTTTTACCGTTAATTGTCAGGCTTTCATCATTATTTTGGGTTTTTGATATCTTCATAAACTTAGTTTTCTTGATCTTTATTAATAATCCATATTCTTTAACGCATCTTGTTCATTAATTTTTGAGTTCTTGGTGGTTGTCGGCTATTATGATAGTATCGTCCGCATATATATTGGTGTTCCATTGACCTTTATTCCTGATGTTGCTCCCTCAATTGCTCTTTTCAATTTCTTCAAAATATGCATTGAATAGTAGTGGAGACAGTACACACTCCTATCACATTCCTCTTTTAATTTCGAACTGTTCTGATGTGTGTTCATTAATGCGTACGTCTGCCTCCTGTTTTTAATATAGACAGTGGCGCACCCAGGGGGTCCCCCAGGATCCTATTCCGACACTGCTATTTACAAATTTTAAGGACTTAAAATGGTGGAGGTAGCACAAAAAAATTTTGGTGCCCAACCAAATCCCCCCTCAGAGGAAAATTCTAGGTGCGCTACTGAATGTAGATTTGTTAGGAGCCATTAGTAACTGATGCGACATCTACTCCTGGATATGTTTTGACTGATTTGATATATAATCAATTTGGTTTCTTACCACTTTCTTCACATCTACTGGTGAGCGCCATGTATATAACCGTCTCATAGGTAACTTAAAGAACGTGTTTGTAATTATTAGACTTTGTTCTTGGCAGAATTGTATTAGACAATCTCCTCTATCGTTACGTTCCCCTAGTCCTTGATCTCCCATTATTGTTCCAGCTCTTCCCTTGACGACTTTTGCATTGAAATCTCCCATAACTACCGTGATTTTCCTGTTCTTTGTCATTTTCAGTGCATCATCAATTTGTTGGAAGAATGTTTCTACTTTATCTTCTGTTGCATCCGTCGTTGGCATATATCTTGGATTAAATTTAGTTTTGTGTGTGTGATGTCCTTATTTGTAGTAGCCTCACTCTTTCTGAGATTGAAACACAGCCCTTAATTGACTTATTGACCTCTGTATTGACAATAATGGCTACTCCACGTCTATGCTGGTTGTCAATGTTTCCCGACTAATATAAGATACTGGTTTCTATCGAAAGGTATCCTGAGTTAGGCCATCATGTGTCACTTACACCCAATATATTTATATTCATTCTTCTCATTTCTTAAAGGATGTTATGCATTTTACCAAGTTGATACATGCTTTTCACGTTCCACGTACCTATTTTTGCTTTTGATCATTTTACTTTGTCTTTTTTCGATGTTTCACAAGGGTTTCGCCGATAAACGACGTAGGAGTCCTTGCCTGTTCCTTCCCTGCAGGATCTTTGGCTCCGATTCCCATGATCAGTGTCTTTTTTTCTTTTAGTACTCATTGCCATGATGATTGTACTAGAGATATCCAATTGGATCTTTAATGCAATTTACTTGATTCATTCGCCTTTCTTGCCAATTTCTTAGCCCGAGACATAAGGGTGCCCTTCCACTTACCAACTCATCCGTCAGAAGTTCGTCAGTAAGTGTGGGATTGCTTATACCGCCAATCGCTTGGTGGAATTTTCACCATATCTGGCTACCCTAACTTAGTTTAGCTTGCAGACTAATGCAATTGTCCGCTGTGTGGCACGTGGAGCCATAATTGAGACTTAGTTGTCTTATGAGGACCAGTTATCAAGAACCATCTGACGTCTATTACGCTCGACGTGGTCGTTCCGATAAAAGGTGCTAACTCTATAACACATCTCTACACCCTTTACTCTTAAAATATACAAGGTGGGGGGGCGGTTTTAGAGGGAAGGTTTTTGCATATTTTGTGGTGTTCCAAAATTAAAATTCTCAGAAAAATTCAGCTTGTTCGGATGATTTTTGGAGGTTCAGTGGCATTTTCTCTCTGACGACTAGAGTGTAAATAAAATAATTTATTTATAACAAAACTAAAACATCTTCGGCATTTGGTAATACGTTTTTTAGATGGCTCTCTTCGAGTTACATCAGATTAAAAAAAAATAATAAAGAAAATAGCTTTATTGAGAAAATACGTTTCTTTACATTTGACAGTTCAAAGCCAACTATAGTTTATTTTTATGAACGAGAGAGTAATTAGCATAATTTTAACTGGTATCATCCGACCACTCCATGGGCGTGCTCAAGATTAATTGAAAAATTACTTTGAATAATTGTAAAAAATAAATGAATTATTTTAGTGTTATAAAGTGTTATGTGTATGTAAACAAAAGTGACCTCTTTTATCACACACTATATTAGAATTGACTGGCCTAAATTAAAAAGGATTTTAAAAAATTCACATTTTTTTTAATTTTTAAAAATTACAAAAGAGAAAAAGAGCTTTTAAAATCGTCTAAGGTATGTTAAATAGATGAATAAAAATATTAATATAAAACTTACAGCTACTTGTTACAAATCCAAATCAGATTCAGAAGATGAACTTTCAGAACCAAGATTTATAATAACTGGCTCGATCATTTTATCAGTAATATTGTCCAGCTTCCACATTTTTTCCTCTTCTTTAATAGTGTGATTTACTGCCTTTTCCCAGTTTTCAGGTTTTACATTATTTACGGCCTCCAAAAACAACTGTTTAACATCATGAATTTTAAAAGTGGCATTTTTTCTTGAAACTTCACTCTTTATCTGTGCCCATACCAGTTTAATCGGGTTTAATTCACAATGATATGGTGGGGATCTAAGTACTGTCATTCCACGATTTTTGGCAATTTCATCAATTTCGTATTTTTAAAATTTTTCTTTATGAAGGGCACACAACGAATAAAGTTCCTTTCTTATAAATCCGGGATGGTACGTAATATTTTTTGAACTCAGCCAATTCTGCAAGTCTTTTTTTAACCACTTGGTTGTGGGCAGTCCTTCTATAAGTCTGGAGTGATAACTTGCATTATCCATTACTATTACACAGTTCTTAGGAAGAAGATCTATCATTTGTTCGAACCATTCTTGAAAGACATCAGCGTTCATGTCTTCATGGTAGTCACCGGTACGAGTTGATTCAAAAGTTAATAAACCACCTTCAATAAAACCGTCTGAACTGCCAATGTGTACTATTATCAGTCTGCGTCCCTTTCCTGATGGTGGGTTTAAACCAGTAGATAAGTTATTTACAAAAGCGTGCCTTTGACTTGTAACAGTTTCATCCTGCCAAAATTTATTTGGTGTATGACCCTCGTTGATCCATGTTTCATCAAGATAAAATATTTTTCTTTTTTGGTTTCTCATTTCCTTTATGGTTCTTAGAAAATGTCTTCTCCATATGACAATATCGCTTCTTTCTAATAAAATAGACTTTCTGGGATTCTTTTTCCAGCGAAAGCCTATTTCTTTTAAAAGTTTCCATAACGCACTTCGACTCATTTCTGGGTAATCCTTATCATCTCGAACTGAGACAAGAACTTTATCCAATGTTGGAAATTCTTGTCTAAAGAAGAATTCATGCACGTTTCGTCGAAGTCCTTCTTTAAAATGATATTCTATTTGAAATTTTGGTTTCCCTGGAGCATTACGTGGCATTTGAAAACTACCACATTTCTCTTCTTTAATAACTCTGTAAATCGTAGATTTCCCAACACCAAGTGTACTGCTTACTAACTCAACGGTCTCATCAACACTTTCACATAAACGTTTGTCTGTAAATGATTTAAAACAATTAAATATTAATGTTTTTTCATTAACTGTTAAAGGACCAATTTTTCGGCGTTTACACGGCACTTCCAAATTTTCCATAACACTAGTATACACAATAAACTGCACCTTGCAACTGAAGTACCTACTTTTAGTGAACTGTTAAGAATTTTGAATACGCCACTTGGACCTTCCTACAAAATGGAAAAACCCACTATCACATTTTCTGTGGAATAAGTTTAGAAGGTAATTATCTAGTCAATTACTGTCGTAGATTCCTGGAATTAAAGAATTCAATGTTTGAAATTAAAATTAATTAAAAAGAAATTAAATGTAAATCATTTCAGATAAAATAAAACGTTTTATTTTATCTAAAGAATTAAACTTTATTTTGCAAATAGGTAGGTACTTATTAAACTTTTATTGGTTATATATAACCAATAAAATAAACATCTTACATTTCTTGCAAATTCATTAGTACCTATTAACCTCCATCACTCCGACACTGGCAACCTTATTTAGGGATTAGTAACCCTCACAACTATTGTATTCTATTCTGCTCCAACCTTTATACCTGGTGGTCATACTCAATTTAAAATTGTTTTCCTATATACTTCTGTAAACTTGTTGACAAATATCTGTTTTTCATTGAGTCACCCGTATCAACAGTTTAGGGATTTGCATACATAATTTATTGTTTTATTCCTCTCTTATACATAAAAATACACTATAGTGCAAAAAATATTAATTTAACTTCATCACGAAAAAAGGGAAAAAATTTCAAATCGATTTTTCTAGAAAATGGTGTATCCTACCAACTAAGTAAAAGTACCTACTAGAAGTAGAAGTTAACCTACCCAAAACGGACGCCTATGACCGGTACTAGAAATTTGCAATTGAGGAGTCGATTCAATTCTAGGGGATAAATAATCGTACCACTTTTCGTTTTTCCAAATAGAAGTGTTCTGGAGATATAAAAAAGATACTTACAAGGCGTCACATTCAAAGAGCTCCAGCCACCCTGGGAAGCAATTTCGTACTAGGTGAATTGGGTTAAGTTGTCTTAAAATTGTCCGAGGAATCTCCGATTTTCGTTTTTTCAGGAGATTTTCTGAACACCTTGTATATAATAAGGGAGATAACAAGCAAAAATTTAAAATTATTTAGAAATAAAACTACTCCATAAAATTATTTATGTACACCAAAACTAAACTTTCCATATAAATATGTTAACCACCAAATAGCGAAACAAAAGAAACTTCTGCTGATTAATCGAAAAAGCCACACGCTTCAAAATACCTTGAAATCTAACGGCACGTTGTGCTCCAATAGAACAGCAAAAAATGATAATAATAATATACTTTGTGATACCTAATTTAAAATATCTAAATTATCACTAATTTTCTACTTTTTTAATCCATAATTTTCCTCCTTCCCGAAATTCCTCAAATTATATTATTGTTGATATCGTGTCTGAAATTTGGTGTCTCTGTATTGTTGCCATGTGATCCATTTCGTGTGTGTATTTTGGAAGAGTAAAAAATAAAAATATCAGTGTGAGAAAAATATCTGAAAAATTCGGTCGATTCTATGAAATCTTTCTCGGCGATAATAACAGAGGATAGCCGCCCAGTGGTGGAACAAACGTAAGCATATGCTTTTTAGGGATTTAAATCTAAATTAAATCATAAAATTACATGAATTTAAACTGTTAAATATTTAGATTAATCGAAACTGTAAACCAAAAATATATTGTTTGTACGAACGGTCACCAATTAACGCAGCATTATAAAGTGTTCTTAGTAAATTGATCATACTTCCTTAGATGAATTAGTGCAATATTTTTTGTTAATTCGTACTTACTTGTAATTGGATATTATATAGGAATATTTATTATTAAAAGTCGGATAAGATATATTTAATCACATATTCTAAAGTACTCTTAACACGTTAGCGGCCATATATATTTTTTTATTTGCTATATACTATCAAATTAATTACAGCAATGTATTTAAAAACTAATAGGCAATCTTTAAATACAAACAAAACGGTTTTCGACCTAGACAATGCAATAATTTGTTAGTTTCGTTGACGAATTTGCAGCTATTCTTCAGATTTGCTCATCCCCTAGTGTCTTATAGAAGTAAATATACATGTTGGTGTCAATAGTTAGTTCCGAACAAATTGACACCAACATCCGAGAAACAGGAGAAAATGTTGAACATAATATAACCAATGAACCAAGTACAAAATACACAATGATTTTTCTACCTTATATCAAGGAGCTCACACCCAGACTGGCAAAGGGTACTTAATTCTTTTTATAATTTCAAAATTGCCAATAAACACACAAATGCTTTTTGGTAGTCCACAAAGCAGGTGTAAATATCGCAAGTTATATCTCTGCATCTTTGAAATAATACTTGTAGACTAAACAGTGCATCTCTTGTACCTACGCCTTTCATGAATCCAAACTGTGTGTCTTGTATTCTCTCTTCGCATAGCTTGTATATTCTACGATGTATAATTTTAAGAAAAAGTTTTAATGTATGGCTCATTAGACTTATTAGCCTATATTCTCCGCACTTTTTTGCTCCCTGTTTCTTTGGTAAGGTAATAAATTCTGAAAGTAGCCAATCTTTTGGGATATTGCCTGTGTCATAGATATTATTGAAGATTTTACATAGTACTCTTAAAGATTCATCATCAAGAAGTTTAAGAAATTCAGATTGTACTCCGTCTGGTCCTGGAGCTCTACCTTTTTTTAGTGATATTATGGCTGCTCTTATTTCTGCCACTAGTATAGGTGGTCCTGTTTCCGTAGGTATTGGGGGCTGGTTCTCTCTCTTATCAAAAAATAAATTTCTTATGTAATTTTTCCAGGTATCATTGATACTCTCTTTGTCCACGATTATCTCTCCATTGTCATTAACAAGTTTACTTACTCTTCTGTTTTTACATTTACCTGTAATTTCTCTTACCTTCTTATGCACGTTGAAGTCGTCGTATTTACTTTGGAGAATTTCGATTTCTTGGCATTTTTTCTCCAGTTCTTTCTGTTTGGCTTCTCTGATCTTTCTCTGTATCTCTCGCTGTAATGTTTTATACATGGAGTTATCGTTCTTGTTTTTCCTTCTTTCTTCCATTAGTTGCAAAATCTCTGTCGTCATCCATGTCTTATTCTTACCTTCTTCGTTCTTCATAAAATTGTCTTTAATGTCGTCTATTGTTTTCTTAAGGGATTCTATCTTATCTTCTGTGCTTTCCGTTGTATTATCGATTTCTTTAAATTTTCTATTTAATGTTTTGCTGACTATTTCTTTTACTTCGCTACATTTCAGTTTTCTCATGTCATGTTTTTTTTTACAGTTTTTTCCGCGTATTTTCTTTAACTTAGTTCTATACACACCCACTAAAGGATTGTGGTCAGATTGAATATCAGCGCCTGGGTAGGTTTTAACACTGTTGAAACTATTTCGATATCTTTTGTTAACAAGCATATAGTCTATTTGATTTCTAATAATAACGTCCTCTCCGTTGTCTCTAGGTGATTTCCACGTATACAGGCGTCTAGGCGGTAGTTTGTAAAATGTGTTTAGCAGGATTAAGTCATGCTCAGCTGCAAAGATACCGTTGTAAATGCTCATTGTTTCTCCGCGTTGATTTCTCTCTCCTAATCCATGTGGACCAATATGTTGCCCTTCTTTTCCGTTACCTATTTTTGCATTGAAATCTCCCATGATTATAAGGAGTTCGTGTCTCGGTATATCTCTTATAGGGTTGCTTATTTGTTTGTAGAATTCTGATATTTCTTCATCACTATGGTCTGCTGTGGGGCATAGACTTGTATGATGTTTGTGTTCACCGGTGACGTATTTATTTGTAACAGGAGGATTCTATCGTTCACTGGTATGAAGTTGTTGACTTGTTAGGCTATACTTTTATGCGTGATAATTCCAACCCCATTCTCATATTTACCATTTTCTGATCCTGAATAGTATACTCTGTAGTCTTCTATATCACAATAACTTGAGTCAGGCCACCTCATTTTACTTATGCACATTATTTCTATTTTCATGCGTTCCATTTCTTTAATTGCGCATTGGATATTTCCTGATTGAGCCATCGTCCTAACGTTCCAAGTGGATATCCTCTTCAGACAATTCGTGTGGACTTTTCTTAAAGGTGTTTTATTGGGTAGTTCACAGGGATTTTGCATATTAACGACCTGAGAGGCGCTGTGGTCATGGGAATGACCTCTCTTGCCGGATCTTGGTCTCCGATGTCCATGATCAGTATGCGAATTTTTATTGGGTTGTACAGCCATTATAATTGTACTAGAGATATCCATAGGGATCTTTAATATAGTGGTTTCTCGTTGCCTTCTATATTCTTATGCCATTGACCAAACCATTGATTCTTCCGCCTTTGGGGCCGGTTTCTCAGCCCCAGGACAAAAGAGTGCCCTACCACCTACCAACTCGTCCGCCCGGAGCCGTTGGTCGGTAAGTGGGGGACTGCTTATACCGGCAATCACTCGGTCCCTATCTGCGTTAGCCATCAAAATTGATGTTGCTTGTCCTCTACCGCGTGGAGGTGCAGATTCGGATTTTTCCTTCATCGAGATTAAGACCTTTCGGCTTTCGACTTCGTTGGATAAAATCTATCTCCTCAAGAAATTTCCCCGTTGATTGTAAAAAAATTACAATAGTAAAAACTGAAGATCCCCATTCAGCAATTACATGATAGTTTGAACTATGTTCTCCCAACCATTAATTAATAGTGTACCGGCATGTAAGTAATGTTTTGTTTATTTACTAATTTATTACAATTTAATAGACTATTTTTA